AAAAAAAATGGTGTGGAGATGTAGCTCAGTGCAAACGCCCAGGGTTCAATCCGGGAGGTGGGGGCGGGAGCGCAAAACACTGGGGGGGGGGGAAAAATCTTATTACTATCGGGAAATGTCACTTCGCAACAAGCGATTTGAAATGAAGGTACCTTTGGTACAGTTTGGTACAGTTTGGTACAGTTTGGTACAGTTTGGTACGATTTAAACTTAGGTTTCCCTTTGAGAAGCAGCGATGAAGACGACAGCACGGACGAGAATAGTAATGAGTTATAATCTAGTTCCCTAGACCGCTGTAGCCTGGTAACCGGCGGGCTCCAGGTCGTAACTACGTAGCCCCAGGCCTTCCTTCTGATTGGAGGAACCTATCCCGGGCTAGAGAACGTTGGCCGGCATTTCAGAAGGCGGGACCGAATGGTTTTTTCTTTGACCAATCGCTTTCGCCTGTCCAGCCTCCTGATCTCCTAGAGACGAATGAAAATCGGTTAGTAAAGTAGCATACCAGTAGTACGTTCTCGTAGGACAGTCGGTCTTTCCGTTTACTCCTTACTACACAACTTCCTGTAGGGGCCTGACAGGTCAAATGACTGAGTGTCACTTTTGTGCGACTGGTGTTTTTATTTCCGGCGTAGTAGGGGCCAGCCTAGGATTTGCTGCCGCCTGAAACCGCTACCGGTAGTCTTCCCGCCGTCATGTCCGAGACGGACAGCGATGAAGATTGCGCTGGAGGAGGCCCGTTTTCTTTAACCGGCTTCTTGTTCGGCAACATCAACGGAGCCGGGCAGCTGGAGGGGGAAAGCGTCTTGGATGATGTGAGGAGAAGGCGTGGGGATGTACGGCGGGGGGGTGGGGTGGCTGTTGACCGCGGCAGTACAGCCGCGTACGAGAGGAGGCTAGAAGGCGTACGGCTTTGTGGGAGAGGGCGCGATGAACAGAACAGAACAGGATACCTTCGTCAGAGATTTAGGGAGTAGCGTAAAGTGCGAGCGCCCAGTTCCGCCTAAGGCAAGGAAGAAAAGAGTTTTAAAGGGGAAGTGCCCGACACGGGGAGGGGTGCCGGCGCGCTGACACTTTCCCTAGCCGGCCGGTAGAAAATAACGGCTCAGCCTAGAGAAGGTGTTTCCACCCATTGCTGCGAGACCCTCCTTGGAGATTTCTCTCGAAGCTGCGTTACTGACGCCGCTCGGCCGAGCCGGCTGTAGAGCCAGTGCTGGGCGGAAGCTGCAGCCGTCACCGGGTCCCGGCCCCAGGTGGTGGGACCCGGCTGCGAGCCCCCGGGCCACTCTGCTCCCACGCACGGCGAAGGCGGTCCGCCCAGTGTGGGCGCGCCCCTTCGCCACGCGGTTCCCCGTGCCCAGCTGACCCTCACCTGCCTTCATTTCGGTTCACTTTTCGAGGAATAAAGCTGCTGACCAATGCTCCCCGTCCCCCGCAATAAATGCACACAAAAGAGCAAATTTGACCGGAACTTGCCCGCTCATCTCGGCGAGCTCGTTTGCCTTTATTCAGAGAACTGCTGTTCCATTCGTTGAGTCTTGGTAGCCGTTCTTTCTTTTAGAGTGTCATGAAATTGGATATGGGCTAGTCAGTGGATTCGGTGAGAAATTCGTGGTACAGTTCTTGAATGTGAACATTTCTTTTAGCACTCTGCTGTCATTTTTCAGATGGGTTTATGACTTCGTTGTGAACCAGGGAAATAACCCTTGTGTGGGACGCTCAGGTTTACTTGTATCTCTGGTGCTGTCCCTTTTTCAGGAGTGTAAGAAGCACCTGGCCGGGCTGGGCGCTTTGGGTCTGGGCAGCCTGATCACTGAACTCACTGCAAATGAAGAATTGGCGGGGACTGATGGTGCCGTGGTAAACGATGAAGGTGAAGCCTGGGTCGTGGGAGTAAGGCGGGGGAGAAGGCTCGTTACCACTGAATGTGGACTTTTAAACGGGAATTGAGGGAGTGAGAGTTACTTCCTCTTTCTTGTGATTTCCCCACCCTTTATTTATAGGATGGATCAAGAGTACAGAAGATGCTGTGGACTATTCAGACATCAATGAGGTAGCAGAAGATGAAAGCCGAAGGTATCAGCAGACAATGGGAAGCATGCAGCCCCTTTGCCACACAGGTGATTCTTTGGTGTCGTAGATAGAGCTTTCCAGTGCATTTTCTTGCTGTATAGTTCTGTTAAGGCTCTGGTTTCTATGTTTTCTGCCATTGTTCTTGATTTCTCTGCCTTTTCTCTGCTTCACCCTTTGTCAGTTTAGTTCCAAGTGACCACTATCCTCTTTCTTTTGGGGCTGGCTTAACATATTCAGGCTTTAATTCCACTTATTTATTTTTATTTGTTTTTTTTGTTTGTTTGCGGTTTTTTTTTTTGTTTTTTTTTTTTTTGTCTTTTTGAGATAGGGTCTCACTATGCAGTTCAGGCTGGCCTTGAACTCGCTGTGTAGCCTTGAACTCCAGAGTCTTCCTACCTGAGCATCCTGAGTGCTGGTATTGTGCCACCTCACTTGGGCTTTTTAAATTTATTGTTTATTTATTTATTTTTGAGACAGGGTCTCACTATGTAGTTCACGTTGGCCTTAAACTCACTATGTAGCCCAGACTGGCCTTAAACTCCTGACAGTCCTCTTGCCTCAGCCTCCCAATAGCTAGGATTACAGGTATGTGCCACCACTCCAGGCCCCTTTTTAATTTTTGAAACAGGGTCTTGCAAAGTCACTAAATAGCCCAGACTGGGTTTGAATTTATAATCCTCTTACAGGTATGTGCCACAACTCCTGGTTAGAGTGTTACATTTAGTTTTGATGAGCTGCCAGAACTGCTAAGTCAAATTCCATAGCTGTTACTTTTGAGCACCTGGTTTAAGTAAGGGGGAAGTGGCAGCAGCTCTAATTTTCAATTGAAGTTGTCATTTTCAGGTTTGAGTTGTTTTGACCCAGGATGGTAAGAAAGGGGATGGAGGGGGTGTTTTTAATTGGGTTTTATGTGTTAGCGTCTAGGAAAAGGATGATGGCTGCAGTTGATAGAATCTCAGTACTATGGGATGCTCATTAGCAGGTTCTTTTATTCTCTGAGGGTACCTTCATAGTGTCCTCTTTCCCTGGCATTGACTCCCTTGCATGGCTTGATTTACAAGGGTGTTTCTTTGGAAAAACTAACTGGAAGTGGATTGAGGTTGTTAAGGAAGGTTTCATGGAGGTGAATTTTGAGCAGAATTTTGAAAGCAAGGCAGAGTTTAGTAGAGAAGAAACAGGGCATTTGGTTGGGAAATGTGGTTTGTCTAAAGATTTGGAGAAGTCAGGCGTGGGGGCATAGCCCTTTAGTCCCAGCACTTAGGTGGCTAAAGCAGCAGGATCACAAGTTTGAGGTTACATAGGGAGACTCTGTCTTTTTTTTTTTTTCCTCTTTGAGACAGGGTTTCACTATGCAGTTGAGGCTGGCCTTGAACTCACTTTGTAGCCCAGGCAGGCCTCACGCTCAAAGCAATCCTTCCTGCCTCAACCTCCTGAGTGCTGGGATTACAGGCATGAGTCACCACGTTCAGTGAGACTCTTAAAAAAGGATGAAAAAGGTTTGGAAGCCAGGCATGGTAGTGGATGGTTGTAATCACAGCCCCCAGGAGGCTGAGGCAGGAGGGTTGCCATGAGTTTGAGGCCAGCCTGGACTACAGAGCGAGACCCTGTCTCCAAAAAAAAAAAAAAAAAAACCCCCAGGAGGCTGAGGCAGGAGGGTTGCCATGAGTTTGAGGCCAGCCTGGACTACAGAGCGAGACCCTGTCTCCAAAAAAAAAAAAAAAAAAGAGAGAGAGAGAGAAAAGGTTTGGAAAAGTAAGCAAATAATGTGGGGGAATTGGCTGGCAGGTTTTCTTGAAAGGAATAAAAAATATACTGGTAAGAAATAAGAAATCAGGGTAGCGGAATTTTACAGCACCTTAATATATACATTATTTAGGATTTGATACCATAGAGAATTATAAACCACCTAGATTGTTTAGTAATAGGCAGTGTGGTATAATGAAAAAGAAACTGACCTTGAAATTTCAAATCTTGACTCAAAACTTAATGTGACTGGACAAGTTGTACAACTTCTGAAGCTTGGATTTCTCATTTTTAAAATAATCCTGGGGCTGGGGATTTAGCTCAGCGGTACAGTGCCTGCCTGGCAAGCGCAAGGTCATGAGTTTGATTTCCGGTACTAGAAAAAAACTAAAAAATAAAATAATCCTTGTTCTCTGGTTTATAATAAATGTGGTAATAGTTATCTCATTAATAATGCTCTGTGTAGGCCAGGCATGGTGGCCATGCCTGTACTCCCAACACTCTGCGCTCAGGAGGCTGAGGCAGGAGGATTGCTGCAAGTTCAAGGCCATCCTAGGGTACATAGTGAGTTGAAGGCCAGTTATATAGCCCAGCCTGAACTACATAGTGAGACCTGTCTCAAAAAAAGAAAAATAATGCTTCATGCAAATTAAATTCATTTTCACATGATGGGAAAGCAACTCTGTAGTACAGGATGATGGTAAATGCTCTGTAAATGTTAATTGGCTTTCCTTCCTGTGTGATGCTTTAGAAGATTGCTGCTTATTACTCTGAGGTTTTAGTTAAGAAGCAAAGTAACAGACCTAATTGGAGACTGCTCTTGTCTAGATATAAACTTATTAAAACCTCAAGTAAGGTGACACTATCATAAGGAAAATGATAGCCAGAGTCAAACTGAGAGTTGCTGACAAAGCATTAGTAGGACTTGGTGAGGGAGGAAATATGTTGGAATGAGTATAGACAGTTGTGATTAAACAAGACTTAAATGTGACTTTTTTATTTAAAGTTGTGTAACTAAATTGCTTAATTTCTGTGACTCAGGATAATTCCTACTTTGCAGCATTACCGGGAGAGCTATGTATAAAAAAGCTAGTCATGCCTAGGACATAGAGGGAGCTCAATAAATGGAGTTTCTTGTAATTACTACTGTTAATAGGTGACTGCAAAATACGTTGAGGGCCAAGGGCTAAGAGATTGATGGAGACAGGCTAGTCATAAGCTGAGAAAGTGAGTCTGGATATGGTAAAGGAAATTTAAAAGAGGTGAAGGATATCCCAGCGTATTGTAAGATACATTTGAATATCTGACTGCAAAGGTTCTTAAGACAGCAGATGATGTGGTGGACTTGTAGAGGGGGTAAGTCAAGGCAAAATATGTAGATTTGGGCTTAAAATTAGTCAGGGTGATTCTTTTTGTTTGTTTGTTTGATGTCTTTTTTGAGACAGGGTCTTGCTATGCAGTTCAGGCTGGCCTTGAGCTCACTTTGTAGCCCAGGCTGGTCTCGAACTTGAAAGGATCCTCCTGCCTCAGCCTCCCAAGTGCTGGGATTACAGACATGCTCCACCACACCCCACTAGTCAGGGTGATTCTTGAGAATGGCAATAGGGAGTATGTAGGAGAATAACAGTGTTTCAAGTATAAAAGAATATTCTAGGACCAAGTATTGAGTATTGCTAGTGGCTAAAGCATAGTGAAATGAAGAACAAACTGCAGAAGATGTATGGAAAGTGTATCCAAGACTTGGGAGATGAGAAGAAGAATAAAATCTAGCCTTAGGGGGAACTGACCAGAAGAGGAATGTTTAATTCAATTATTAGAGATTGAGCAGGATGAAATTTTTTAAAAACCAGAATATTATCAAGAGAGAGAACAAAAGATTTTAAACAAATTTTAGAAGCTCTAAGAAGCTCTCTTATTCTGTATGAGACATGGGCATTTGTGTATACCATGATGTCATCTTTCTGAAGGCAGAAGCTACATTTTCTGTGTATTTTTTTTTCTCTCCAGTACTAGGGATCAAACTCAAGGGTGCTAAGCCACTGAGCTATATCAGGCTTTTTAAAAAAAATTTGAGATAGGTTCTTGCTAAGTTGCCAAGGCGGGACTCAAACTTGTGATACTCCTGCCTCAGCCTCCCTCAGTGCTGCAATTATAGATGTGTACCACCATGCTCTGCTTGTATATTGTTTTTTTTTTTTTTTTTTTTTTAAGTCAGGGTCTCGCTATGTACTTTAGGCTAATCTTGAACTCACTATATAGCCCAGGCTGGCCTTGAACTCGTGCCACTCCTCTTGCCTCAGACTCCCAATTGCTGGAGTGGATTATAGGCATGCACTACCACTCCTGGTGCTTGTGTATTAAGGGACATGGACAGTACTTCTTGTGGTGCTTTAAATTTTTGAGTGGCAAGACAGCTCAAAGCTATTGTGTCATATTTTGGATATTGAGATCACCTTACTGGTTTTATTAGGTTATGATGAAGATGACTATGATGCTGACTGTGAAGACATCGATTGCAAGTTGATGCCTCCCCCACCTCCACCTCCAGGACCAATAAAGAAAGATAAAGACCAGGATGCTATTACTGGTGGTAAGCAGATACTATTTTTGTCTAAGGAGCACACTTTCATTCCTAAGTCCATGATTTTGACACTTACATCAGGGGCTACTAAAACATTAAACTAGTGTAGGAAAGATGATACTTCCAGAAACTATTTTTTTTCCAGAAACTATTTAGTCTCAAATTTTAGTGTTAAATTGCAAGTGATTTTTAATTAGTTTTACTTTTAAAACATTTGGTAACAGCCGGGTGTGGTGGTGCATGCCTGTAATTCTAGCACTCAGGAGGCTGAGGCAGGAGGACCATTGCGAATTCGAGGCCAGCCTAGGCTACATAGTGAGTTCAAGGCCAGGTGAACTACATAATGAGACCCTGTCTCAAAAAAAGAAAAACACATGTGGTAACAGTATTTTAACATATACTTAAGAGGTAGCAGTTTAGGTCAGTGTTTCTCAAATCTGGCTGTCCATCAGAATTACCTCAAGTCTCCACAATATAGAGATACCGGATTCTCACTCTTGGAGAGTCTGATTTAGACCATCTGGAGTAGAGCCCAGGAATTTAGAGTTCCTTAAGAATTTCTGATACAGTTAATCTGCATACTGGTATTTGGAGACTACCCATTTAGAAAAGACTCTACAGTATGTGTAAATTGTCTGGTGTCACCTACCATGTAGTCAGAGATTTCAGAGGTTGGTAAGGCCATCATTGAGCATCTTACTAATTCCTATACTTGTACATTAGTAACCATATCATAGGCTTGAAGATAGGAGAAGAACACTGTCTTTGGTCTTTCATATTTTTTGTTTGTTTGTTTTGGTTTTTGAGGCAGAGTCTCCCTGTGTAGTTCAGATTGGCCTTGAACTCATAGTGATCCTGCTATCTCTGCCTCCCCAGTACTAGGATTACAGGTGTGTGCCACCATGCCCAGCTTTGTCTTCTGTATTTTGAAGCTTGTGTTAACCTAAATTTGAGCCATTTCCTTTTTTAGTCTTCAGGCTAAATACTGCTGTTAACTTTGGGTGTATAGATTTGATTTTATGGTATACAATCTCCTTGTTATCCTGTGGGCCTGAAAAGAATTATCCAGTTTATATGTCCTGGGACTGGACATGATAAGGGCCCTGGCATAAATAATGACATAATCCTATTATTGCACAACATTGGGTACAATATTGGTTGCTTATGGAAAGTAGTAAATGTAGTAATAGTGTTTGTTTTCTTTCATCACAACCCTAGGGTACCCAGGTACAAGGTGAGTTGGGGATGGTGGGAAATAATGAATTTAAAGAGTTTTTTGGGTCGCATACTAGCAGTCTGGGTGCTTGGGACTATATCCCCTGCCATTAAGCCATGCATATAGTTTAGAGTGGGTGTTGGCTGAATATGAAGAATTACGTTCACAGTTACATGCCAAAGGGGTTTCTCTTCCTTATTGCAGTGTCTGAAGATGGAGAAGGCATCATCTTGCCCTCCATCATTGCCCCTTCCTCTTTGGCCTCAGAGAAAGTGGACTTCAGTAGTTCTTCTGACTCAGAATCTGAGATGGGACCTCAGGAAGCAACACAAGCAGAATCTGAGGATGGAAAGCTGACCCTACCTTTGGCTGGGATTATGCAGCACGATGCCACCAAGTTGTTGCCAAGTGTCACAGAACTTTTTCCAGAATTTCGGCCTGGAAAGGTACTTTCTAGAGAATAGCTATATTGCAAGACTGGGGATTTAGCTCAGTGGCACAAGTGCCTGCCTGGCAAGCACGAGGTCCTGAGTTCAATTCCCAGTACCAAAAAAAAAAAAAAAAAAAAAAAAACCCAAAAAATACATGCAAACCGCTGACTTCTTCCAGATACCAAGTTCTGTGAAGATGCTAAATGGATAAACTCTAAATCTATGGATTTTTGTATTCAGTATCAAATAGTTTATGTAAGAACTCTTTGCTATATTAGGGTTTTGTTTTGTTTTGAGACAGGGTCTTGCTGTATATTCCAGGCTAACCTTGAACTTACTTATGTGCCCTGGGCTGGCCTTAAACTTTTTTTGTTGTTGTTGTTAATTTGGTTTTGAGACAGGATCTTGCTATGTAGTTCAAACTGGCCTTGATCTCACTACTTAGCCTAGGCTGGCCTTGAACTTGTTGTGATCCTCCTGTAACAGCCTCCCAAGTGGGTCACCATGCCTGGGCCCGAGACAAGGTTTTACTAAATGGTTCAGTCTTGCAGTCCTCCTGTCTCAGCCTCCTAGAGTACTGGGGATTATAGGTATGCACTACCAAGCCCAGTTTAAGGGTCACTTCTTTATTTTTGTGGTAGATATCAGAGGTCTGAGTGTATACTCTTTGATTCCTCTGCATTGTTGAATGGATCCTTCAAGAGAGTTTTGAAACCTGAGTGCTGCTATTTTCCTAGCTGACACTGAGTCTCTGGTACAGTAATATGTCCTATGTTCTAGGTATTACGCTTCTTACGTCTTTTTGGACCAGGGAAAAATGTTCCATCTGTTTGGCGGAGTGCTCGGAGAAAAAGGAAGAAAAAACACCGTGAGCTGATACAGGAAGAGCAGGTCCCAGAAGTGGAGTGTTCAGCAGAATCAGAAGTCAACCAGAAGTCTTTATGGAACTATGACTATGCTCCACCACCACCTCCAGAACATTGTCTCTCTGATGATGAAGTAGGCACAATAGAAACCTGGGATTAAGGCCTACAAGGGAAACAAAGTTCTCCCTAGCTTGTGTCAAATTGGAAATAACACTTTAGCAGGCAGAGTTCTGTGCTAATTATCAATAAATAATCATGAGTCAATTCCAGTGGCTGTCCCTTCCCTGTTATAAATACAGTATTTGACAGAGGGTAAAGGTGTGGAATGAGAGTGGTGCAGATGGTGATACACTGCTGAATAGGAAGGTTTGGAAAGTAGGCAGAATATGCTGTCATATATCTTCATTTTTCTGCATTCTACCTCCAAAGAAAGAGTCTTGTTTGAGAATACTCTTAAATTTCCCTCTTGACGCTGGGTATGGTGGCACAGTCCTGTAATCCCAGCACTCAGGAGGCCGAGGCAGGAGGATCTCTGTGAGTTTGAGGCCAGCCTGGGCTACAAAGTGAGTTCAAGGCCAGGCTGAACTGCATAGCAAAACCCTGTCTCAAAATGACAAAAAAAAATTCCCCTCTTCAGGCCAGGCATGGTGGTGCATGTCTATATAATCCCAGCATTTGGGAGGCTGAGGCAAGAGTATCACAGTGAGTTTGAGGCCAGGCTGGGCTACAAAGTGAGTTTAAAGCCAGCCTGAACTACATAGTGAGACCCTGTCTCAAAGAACAGAAAAATTTTAGTTCCCCAGTAGCCTTAGGACATCAGATATAGGGAACCACCTCCCTTTCTGCTTCTCTACTTTGTTATAGATCACAATGATGGCTCCTGTGGAGTCCAAGTTTTCCCAATCTACTGGAGATACAGATAAAGTGACAGATACTAAACCAAGAGTGGCTGAGTGGCGTTATGGGCCTGCCCGACTATGGTACGATATGCTAGGTGTACCTGAAGATGGCAGTGGGTTTGACTATGGCTTCAAACTGAGAAAGACTGAACATGAACCTGTGATAAGATGCAGAGTGATGGAGGTGAGCAACACTGGTGTGTAAGAAGGGAATCATCAGTGTGCCCAGGGCTCTATCGCTAAATGATTAACTTTTTAGTTGGAGATGCACTCAGTAGGGTTTCTTTGGTGGGTGTAGCTGGTTAAACCTTTTGTTTGTTAATGGTATATTACCTTGGTAACTAGGCCCTATTCTAAGTGTTCTGTTTATGAAGTGAATGCTGTTCAGATTAGGAATGGGAGAAGACGCAAGTAATTCTATTTTCTCAAGTAAAATTAGCACGACTGTGTGTATGTTTTGTTGTTGTAATGGGAATTGCACCTAGGGATTTTGTACTGAGCTACATCTCCTGACCTTTTATTTATTTATTTTCCAGGCCTTTTATACTTTGTTTTTGAGACAGATTCACTATATTGCTAAATTGCTAAGGCTGGGCTTGAATTTAGCCAAGCACCACTTTTGGTGTGTCTCATGTATCTCTGATGTTCGATTTGGAGTGGGAACTTAGACCATTGATCAAAGATTTGTTGTTTGTTCCTTTTGTATTCTACTTCTACAGGAATGTAAGAAACTTGAGGAAAGCAGTGGCACTGATCTTCTGGCAGATGAAAACTTCCTAATGGTGACACAGCTACATTGGGAGGATGATATCATTTGGGATGGAGAAGATGTGAAACACAAAGGGACAAAACCTCAGCGTGCGAGCCTAGCAGGCTGGCTTCCTTCCAGTATGACTAGAAATGCCATGGCTTATAATGTTCAACAAGGTATCTATCTGTTCCAGCTGTGCCTAACGTACTACCCTTCATCTCAGCCATCCTAACTCATTCTAAATCGCCTTGGCTGTGATCTTTGTGCTGCTAAAGGATAGTGAAATATTTGAGTCTGAGTCTTGATTCTAATTCCTAATAATTTTTTACCCTATTAATATGCTAGCCAAACCGTTGTTAAACATTTAAGTTGTTCAAGTTTCAATTATTATAAGCAATATTGCAGTAAGAATTTTGTCTGCAACAGTTTTATTTCTTTATGTTTATTTTGAGATGGGGGTCTTCCTATGTAGTTCAGGCTGGCTTTGAACTCGCTAAGGTAACCCAAGCTGGCCTCCAGTTTATGACAATCCTCCTGCCTCAGCCTCCCAAGTGCTGGGATTATAGGTGTAGGCCACCATGCCAGGCTACCAACAGTTTTTAAAAGAGAAATATATTACCTTTTAGTAGCTGCATGAATAACTACTAACATTTGTTCTTTTTTTCTCTGCTAGACTTTTGATTGAAGGAGGCATAAATGTTTTGTCTATTGCTATTTCTTTCTCCTGCTTTGACTACATCTTTTTTATTTAACTAGGTTTTGCAGCCACTCTTGATGATGACAAACCTTGGTACTCCATTTTTCCTATCGATAATGAGGATCTAGTGTATGGACGCTGGGAGGACAATATCATTTGGGATGCTCAGGCCATGCCCCGGCTGTTGGAACCTCCTGTTTTGACTCTTGATCCCAATGATGAGAACCTCATTTTGGGTATGTTACTGCCAAGCTTTGTTCTTTTTCCATCTTTTTTCATTATATTGTTTTTGGTAGTACTGAGTATTGAACCTGGGGGCCTTTAGCATGATAGGAAATCACTCCTAAACTACATCCCTAGACGCTTCCCTCTCCCTCTTTGACAGCCTGCTGCTAATGTCAAGGGGCAGGAGGAAATTTCAAGAAGGACGAAATTAGAAAGTTCTAGGTCTAGGTAGCAGTTTGAGAGAGCAGAATTGTGGTTGTCAGTTTCTAGTATTTGTGTATTGTTCAGGGAGAAACTCATGTAGGAATGTTAGAAAGTAGAACCTTTAGGATGTCAGAGTGGAATTGGCTTATATGTACACCAACAGATGAATAGATAAAATGTGGTATCCAGTGGAGTACTGCTCAGCCAAAACGAAGGATAAATTTGAGTCATTTATAGGAAGATAGATGCACCTTAGTAATGTTTTTTTTTTTGGTACTGGGAATCAAACTCAGGACCTTGTACTTGCCAGATAGGCACTTGTGCCACTGAGCTATATTACCGAGCTATAGCCCTTGATAACGTTAAGTGAAATAAATCAGACGCAGAAGTTTAATGCGTGGTTTCTCATATATGAAAAACCCAAGGTATAAATAAATTTATTTTTGGTGTTTTTGAGACAGGGTCTGGGATGCAGTTCAGGCTAACTTTGAACCCACCATGTAGCTCAGGCCAGCCTCAAACTGATGGCAATCCTTCTGCCTCAGCCTCCCAAGTGCTGTGATTATAGGAGTGCACGACCATACCTGGGTCAAAGTATAAATAATTTAAAGGGCAAACTAAAAGATGATAGGAAACAAGGAGATAGACCTTTTGCAAATAGAAAGGGGATGTTGAGATGGAGGGAGAAGGGGGGAAAAAGGAATAAGATGTGATACAAAAATGTACCAACAGAAAAAAATGTACCAACGTTCATTATGTATTATCATGTATTCATTATGTGTTGCAAACATGTACTAATAAAAAAGATAATGTCAGGCATGTGGTCACTTTGGAGGCTGAGGCAAAAATCTCACAGGTTTGAGGCTAGCCTGGGTGACATAGTAAGACTCTGTGTCAAAACAAAAATGGTTGGGGATGTAGCTCAGTGGTGGAATACCTCTGGGTTCAATCCTCAGTGTTGGAAAAAAATGTCAGGCCTATAGTGAATCATGGACTAAAAGTGTCTAGGGTAGGATGAGAGATGTCGTTTGCAAAGCTATCAGTGAAAATGTGAATGAATTTTCAGGGTTAGCAGTTCCAAAGTCATCTTTGTTCATCCTCAGAGATTCCTGATGAGAAAGAAGAGGCCACTTCTAATTCTCCCTCCAAGGAGAGTAAGAAAGAATCATCTCTGAAGAAGAGTCGAATTCTCTTGGGGAAAACAGGAGTCATCAAGGAGGAACCACAGCAGGTCTGTTTAAAGGGGCTTAGTGTTTAGAAGAACAAAGGTAGTAAAAAAGGGTAGTCTAAGGTTTATTGGATGATCTGTCTTTAGAACATGTCTCAGCCAGAAGTGAAAGATCCATGGAATCTCTCCAATGATGAATATTACTACCCCAAGCAACAGGGTCTTCGAGGTACTTTCGGAGGGAATATTATTCAGGTACAAACAGCATATTTTCTCTGGTGACAGGGAACCTTCTTTTTTTGTTCCGATAGAGAATGTGGGTATATCTTGCCTGGGCTGCAGTCAGTATTTAATTTTAAATTTTCTATTTCTTGTTTCAGCATTCAATTCCTGCTGTGGAATTACGTCAGCCTTTCTTTCCCACCCACATGGGACCCATCAAACTCCGGCAGTTCCATCGCCCACCTTTGAAAAAGTACTCCTTTGGGGCACTATCTCAGCCAGGTCCCCACTCAGTTCAGCCTTTGCTAAAGCACATCAAAAAGAAGGCCAAGGTATAATGTAATCCTGGTTAGAAAAAAAATGCAGTTATAAATGTAGAAGTTAGGGAAATGTACTGGATATTAGATTATGTTAGGGAATTATTGTTTGTCAGATGTAATAGAATGTTAATTTTTTTTTCTGTTTTTTTTTTTTTGACACAAGGTCTTGCTATGTACTTCAGGCTGCCTTTGAACTTGCTTATATAGCCTAGGCTGGCCTCAGACTCATAGCGGTCCTCCTGCCTCAACCTTCGAAGTGCTGGGATTACAGGTGTACGCCACCATAGGATGTTAATTTAGTTATTAGGAGAATGTCTTTATTCTTACGAGATACATATGAAACTAAAGTGTCATGATGACAGTTTTCAAAAATGCTGCAGCAGAATCCATAAAAAAATAGTTATAGATAAATGAGGGAAAGTATAAACAGTTATACCTAGTTTATCACACTATTTTTTTTTAAATTTCTAAAATTTTTCTTAGTATATGTTTGCAATCATTCATCATGGGAAATTGGTACATATATGTAACACATCCACACATCTTATCACATCTTCTTTTTCCTCTTCCACTCCCCTTCCTTCATAGTACTGTTCTTTCAACTTCACTAATGTGTTTGGAAGTTTTTACAATGAAACTGAAAATTTTTTTCTGGTGCGTTTTTCTCAGATCAGATGAAATCAGTGTGTGTAGTTACTGTCAGGAGCTGTACTCTTTTTTTCTGGACAGATGAGAGAACAAGAGAGGCAAGCTTCAGGTGGTGGAGAGATGTTTTTTATGCGCACACCTCAGGACCTCACAGGCAAAGATGGAGATCTTATTCTTGCAGAATACAGTGAGGAAAATGGACCCTTAATGATGCAAGTTGGCATGGCAACCAAGATAAAAAACTACTATAAACGGGTGAGTCTCTGCTGAAAAACCTCTTCATTATTAATATGGCTGTATAGTTAGATATCTAGTGCTAACCTGTGAACATACATTTTGTCTTTTATGTTACAAATTTTTGGGGAGAAAGGAGTAGTATCTTTGTAGTTAATGTTAGTAAGTGCCATGCTTGTGGAATATTATGTATAGTCTTATTGATTATATTTGAAGATAGTAATTGAATTTGCTGTGTTTCTCATAGAAACCTGGAAAAGATCCTGGAGCCCCAGATTGTAAATATGGAGAAACCGTGTATTGCCATACATCTCCTTTCCTGGGCTCTCTCCATCCTGGACAGTTACTACAGGTAAAAGAATTTTTTCGTCTTCTCTAAGGAAATTGACAGATGAGCTAGTGCAGGCAGAACTAGTTCTGATGGACTGAGATACATTTCATATCAATTTTGGGTAGATCAGTATAATCCAGAAATTTTTATAAAAATATTTTTCTTAAAACTGGCCCCTTGGGCAACCCATTTAGGACCCTGTCCCAGGAGCTATTCCTGTTCCCCATTCATTTTCTCCAGTAAATTTTCCTACTCGTAAAAATAAAACAACAAAAAACTGGCCCCCTCTGTATTGTTCTTAGGCTACCTATAAAATAGCTTTTTGAAAATATACTCTGGCAAGGCCAGTAATATCTGGGTAGCATAGGGAAGTAAACCTAGGATTAATCATGTAATGTATGTGTGGTTAAATCCTATGTGTAAAATTGGTACATTTTGATCATAATTACTTGTGGTCTTGTGAGTACTGACTCATGCTTGCTTTTGCTGTGCTGGAGCTCAAGCTAAGAGCTTCACACATTCTAGGAAAGCTTTCTGCCACTGAGCCACGTTCCCATCTCTGAGCCACACTTGAACCATGTCATGTACAATCCTGCCATAATGAAATGCTGCTTTTTTTCCTTTGTTCTAATAGGTATTGTCTTGATTACTTTTCTCCCCTTGCTGAGACAAAATACCCGATGCCCAGAGTTAAAGATGAAAAGGTTTATTTAGCTCACAGTTTGTGGAGGTTTCAGTCCATATTGCCTGGCTCCAAGGCAAAAAGGCATGGCAGAAGAGAAATAGTTCATGGGGGGCGGGTCGCAAAAGCACCTAGAGCAAAAAGGGAGGAGCGAGAAAGCAAGCCTCTTTCCCTCCCTTATATTGTATGCAGGCTACCCACCCTAGAGCAGGTGTAGCATTCATGCCCATAATCCCAGCATTGGACCATGAATCAATCATAAACTCTAGAAGCCAGTCCCCATGACTGCATGAAGCTTTAGGGACACATCTGGACACAAACTGTAACATTCTGCCTCTGGACCCCCAAAGGCTCATGCACATCCCTTTATACAAAAGGCATTTAGTCCATCTCTAAGAGTTGCCAAAGTCCTAACAGTTTCAGCATTGCTGAAAAAAGTCCAAGTCCCACATCCCTGAGATCTAAGGCAAACTCTTAGCTGTGAGCCCCTGTACAAATGAAAGTTAAACACTTTCGACATTCAATGGCACACGATAGACAGTTCCATTCCAAAAGTTTCAAACGGGGGGATACAAAAGAATGGGACCAAAGCAAGTCCAACATTCAGCAGAGCAAACATTAAATCCCATAGTTCCATGTGGAACATCTGAAGCAATCTGGTAAGTTGTGAGCTCCAAAGGCCTTGTGTTGCTCTGGCCCTATGGTACTGCCCGTGATTGTAGCTCCCATGACTTCTTTCTTAGGCCTGCTTTGCTCTCCCTCCTTGCAACTTCCCTTAGATGCTCCTGTTCCTGGCTTTTCCAACCCTCTGGGGTCTCCACTGCACCTTTGGCTTCTCCTTCACAGCTTCGCACATTGCCCTCTCAGGGGCACACTGCCTGGTCTCCCAGGCCTTCTGAAATGGAGGTGGAAGCTGCCTTAACCCCATAACACTTGCATTCTCCATGCACCTAAACCCAGCACCACATGGATGCCGCCAGTATCTGCGGGCAGCCGGAGCAGCAGCCAGGCTTCCTCCCCTCTTGGCTATAGGGGTCGAGTGCCTGGATTGCTGAGCACTCTGAATCCAATTCTGGGGAACAAATTCTCAATGCTGCAGCCACTCTGGAACCTGGTGCAGCTGCCACCGGCATTCTGGAACATGATACTCTGTGGCTTGCTTCTCAAAGCAGTCTTTCACCTTTGCAGTTTTGAGGCTGGGAAGGGTGGAGACTTGCTGCTTCTTTGTGATGCCCTCCGGCCATCTTTTCTGTTGTCCTGTTCCTTCTCAGCAATCCAGATCTCCTCAGCTCTGTCTTTGCAGTCCACAGCTTTACTGGAGCTTTTTTTCTGGCCAAACTCACAATGTTTTAAATCATCCTGCTGGGCTCTTTGCTCTTTTTCTCAACATAAATCTGGCTAACAGCCCCCAGCAATAGCCATGCCACTGCCTCAATATTTGACTGCCTGGAAATTTCTTCGGCCAGTTTAATTAGTCTGTCACCCTTAATCTTAGTCTCAGGCAAAGTCTGGACATGAGCAAAATGCAGACAAACTTTTTGCCAAATTATAACACATATCATCTGGAGTACAGCATCCAAATACACTGCTTCCCAGCAGAAACCTCCAGAGTGTGGTCTTTACCGGCTAGATTTCTACCAGCCTTTTGGTCTTCTGAGGTCTGACCAGACTCTCTCATACAGAACAGCTGAAGGTGTACCAGCTCTACTCTCTCAGGCAACATCTCCGAACCTTTCCAAACTCTTCTCGCAAGCCATTCCCAAAGGCTCCTGAACCACTTAGTCAGGTATAGTCACAGTTAAGACCCCACTCCTCCAGAACCAAGTTTCATCTTGGTTACTTTTCTGTCATTGCTGACATAAAATACCTGATGCCCAAAGTTAAAGAAGGAAAGGTTTATTTAGCTTACAGTTTGTGGAGGTTTCAGTCCATACTCGGCTGGCTCCAAGGCAGCATGGCATGGCAGAGGGCAATAGTTCATAGGGGCAAAAAACAGCAAAAGCAATAAGAGCAAAAAAGGAAGAGCTGAGAGAGCAAGCCTCTTTTCCTCCCTTATATTGTATGCAAGCTACCTACCCCAGGGCAGGTGTAGCACTCACACCCATAATCCCAGCGTTGGACCATGAATCAACCATAAACTCAAGATGCCCGTCCCAGCTGGGCGTGGTGGCACATGCCTGTAATCCCAGCACTCAGGAGGCTGAGGCAGAAGGATCGTTGTGAGTTCGAGACCAGCCTGTGCTACAAAGCGAGCTCAAGGCCAGCCTGAACTACATAACGAGACCCTGTCTCAAAAAGACAAAAAATAAAAGAAGCCTGTCCCATGACTGCATGTGGCTTTGAGGGGACATCCAGACACAAACCATAACAGGTATAGAGAGGTTCTTTGGTAATGCATTTTATATTTTTACATATTCATACAGTGAATGGCAGAGGTAAGGGGCTGGGGATTTAGCTCAATGGCATGGCACCTGCCTGGCATGCACAAGGTCGTGAGTTTGATTCCCGGTACTGGAAAAAAAAAAAGCAGAGGTAGCCTCAACTGAATTAAAATCCTGTATTCTCAAATACTGACCCTGAATGATAGTGGGTAAAAAAGTTGTCTAATTTTAATATTCCATATGATAGTCCATTTACTAGGTAGACCTTATTAGATAGCCTGATGAAGATGGAGAGCAATGTGCTTGATTTTCCTTTCTCATTAGCTGACTAAAATTCATAGGGTTTCTCTGTATGTAATTTTTATGGTTTTACTTTTGTTAGGCATTTGAGAACAACCTCTTTCGTGCTCCAATCTACCTTCATAAGATGCCAGAAACAGACTTTCTGATCATTCGGACAAGACAGGGTTACTACATTCGGGAATTGGTGGATATATTTGTGGTTGGCCAGCAGTGCCCCTTGTTTGAAGTTCCTGGACCCAACTCCAAAAGAGCCAATACACATATTCGAGACTTTCTACAGGTAAGAGTAAGAGTTTGGAGGGATGGACAGGATATACATGAAAAAGGTTTGTGGATTTGGGGGCACATTAGGAAAGATGAAAACACAATGGAGCTTGGCAGGGGAAGGAGCACCAGTGGGGACTTCTATCCTTTACCTAAAATACATTTGTTTGTTGGGCAGGTCTTTATTTACCGCCTCTTTTGGAAGAGTAAAGATCGGCCAAGGAGGATTCGAATGGAAGATATTAAAAAAGCCTTTCCTTCCCATTCAGAAAGCAGCATCCGGAAGAGGCTAAAGCTCTGTGCTGACTTCAAACGCACAGGTATCCGTGTGACCTGTTTTTTGTCTTCTGTGTAATTCTTCATTATATCAAAAATTATGAGGGCTTTCCTTTAAAAGATAAGCATGCAACTAAAAAGATAGAAATCAGTAACTGTTAAAAGGAGAAGGTAGCCAGCTGGGTGTGGTAGCACACACCTGAGATACCAGCACTCTCGGAGGCAGAAGCAGGATTGCAACTTTGAGCCCATCCTAGGCAACTTAGCAAGACCCCTGTATCAAAAATAAAAATTAGGAAAAGGGCTGGGGATGTGGCTTAGTGTGAAGGCTCTATGTTCAATCCCCAGTACTCGGGGGGAAGAAAGGAGAAGGCAGCAAATCTTTTAACTGTGGAAGCTTTGATTGCTTTTTTGGTAATTACTTGCTAGGAAAATTCATTGTGATTGTTGGATGTCTATATATGAGATGTAGGAAACCTAGCATCAGGGGTTTGGTTGATCAGACAGTCATGCTAACTGTGGCTAAGCATTTTACCATTTACGGCATTGCCTAGATTCAAGCTCTGTTCTCCTGCTACTGTTAGTGAATGTTGGAGCCTTTAGAATTGAGAACTCTGTGTCTTTTCCAGGGATGGATTCTAACTGGTGGGTGCTGAAGTCTGATTTTCGTTTACCAACTGAAGAGGAGATCAGAGCTATGGTGTCTCCAGAGCAGTGCTGTGCTTATTATAGTATGATTGCTGCAGAGCAGCGACTGAAGGTAAGAAGCTTCTTTTTAGACACTGCTTATGCCTCAGTTTCAGAGATAAAGAAGACTCCTTCTCATTGTCTTAGGGATGATGGTTACTAGATTACCAATTACTAAAAAGTTCAACCTGTATGAGGTACTTTTTATGTACATCAATTCTGGGGAAAACTACGGTGTATCGTAAGTGTCAATGGGAAGGTTTAATGAGGGACTTAAAACATTGTTTTGTGGGGCTGGGGATTTAGCTCAGCGGCACAGCGCCTGCCTGGCAAGCACAAGGTCGTGAGTTCGATTCCCGGTAACGGGAAAAAAAACCAAAAAAATAAAAATAAAAAAGTAAAAATAAACAAAACATTATTTTGCTTTGAAAGTAGTTGCTCATCCAATTGGGTGGTGACTTAAATCTCTTTGCAAGACAAGCATAAGATCTTGGAAACAACTCAGATGCCCATCAATTGAGGAATGGATAAAAAAGATGTGGGTTTTTTTATACAGTGGAGTACTACTCAGCCATAAAGAAGGATGAACTGGAGACTTTTATAGGTAAATGGATGCAACTCGAGACCATACTCCTAAGTGAAATAAATCGACCCACATGTGTAAACATTGTATGGTCTGTAGTATGAGAAGCTGAACAAGTAAATAGGACCCAAAATGTATAATAGATATTGTGAACTGGGAAGAAACTGTTCAAATGAAAAGAGAAACTGTGGTGGGGGAAAGGGGAAAGGAAGGGAAAAGGAAAAAAACTACATATATAAACAAGATAGCTAAGATAGCTATACTACTAGTTTCTCTTAGTTCATTGAAAAGAAAGGTTTGTGAAAATATTATTTGGAGAATATCTTGTACCCTGAGTAACTACTCTGAAGATAACAGTATACAGTATATTATTGTTACCTATTTCTTGTTTTCAAATTCTGTTTTATTTTTTTTCTTCTTTTTGTAATAAAAAAAAAGACAAGCATAAAAGCAGAGAAAGTACTTGTCAGCCTCCCAGGTGAGCAGAGATGATGAGGAGTGCTGGAAATGTGGTTGGGATAAGGACAATATCCTTATAAGGCCAGAATAGAAAACGTCCAACTAGGGAGGTACAACGTAGCTCTGTCGCACTACATCTCTGCTTAGTTTTTTTATGGGCCTTGATTACTTAATTAATTTTTATGGGCCTTAATGTATCAGCTAGTTAAGTTCCTTGGAATGTGGCAGTACAGTATATTTTCCCATAGCCTAAGCATGTACAGTGGTGAGATATAGTGGAAACTTTATAGAATCCATTCTCCTTGCAAAATATACTTTTCTGTACTTGGTATTCAGTAAAACCTGTGTTTATGTTTTTCAATTGATTTTTTTTTTTTTTGTGGAATTGTCCTCTTCCAGGATGCTGGCTATGGAGAAAAGTCCTTTTTTGCTCCAGAAGAAGAAAATGAGGAAGATTTCCAGATGAAAATTGATGATGAAGTAAGACTGTATACTCACTTTTTCCCCTGAATGAGCAGATTAAACTTTTTTTTGGTGCATACTGGCCATACAAAATAATAGGTTTCAGCCAGGGATATATAGCTCAGTGGCACAGCGTCTGCCTGGCAAGTGCAAGGTTCTGAGTTAGATTCGTGGTACAAAGTAATAATAATTATAATAATAATAATAGGTTTCATTTTGACATATTTGCAGTATGAATATAACATACTTTGGTTTGTTTTTTTTTATCATTTAGGTTTTGTGGGGTTTTGCTTTTTTTTTTTTTCTCCAGAGACAGGGTCTCATGTAGTTCAGTCTGGCCTTGAACTCACTATGTAGCCCAGGCTGACCTCAAACTCACAGGGATCCTCCTGCCTCAGCCTCCCAAGTGCTGGGATTACAGGTGTGTGCCACCACGTTCAGCCATACTTTGATCATTTCTACTTCCACATTATCCCACCAAATACATCCTAGTCATTATCTCCTTTTTTTTTGGTGCTAAGGAACTAGCCCAGGACCTCATGCCTGCTAGGCATACACTCTACTACTGAACTCCATCCCTCACCCCATTTACCTTTTTTTATTTTGAATTTTTTGGGGTTTATTTGTTTTGGGGGGGTACTGGGAATCGAACTCAGGATATTGCACTTGCCAGGAAGGTGCTTGTGCCACTGAGCTGCAGCCCCGGCTCTTTTGATTTTTGAGATAAGATCTCGCTATGTAGTTCAGGCTGGTCTTGAACTCACCATGTAGCCCAGGCAGACCTCAAACTCTGAGTCAATCCTCCTGCCTCAGCCTCCCAAGGGCTGGGATTACAGGAATGTGCTGCCATGTCTGGCTCTCTTTTTTAAAAGAAACAGCTTTATTGAGGTAAAACTGACACATACTAAGTTGCATACATTTAAAGTATACCGTTTGACACATTTTGCCATGTGTGTAAAGCTGAGAAATGAGAGATCCTTACTACAAGATAAGCAGATTTGTCATCTCCAGTTTTTTTTTCTTTTGTTGGTACTAGGGATTGAACCCAGGGTCATCACACTGAACTATATCTGTAGACCCTTTTAAATTTTGTATCATTGTCTTGCTAGGTCACAAAATTGCCCAGGTTAGGCTTGAACTTCTGATCCTCCTCCTTCAACTTCCCTGAGTGCTGGGATTACACTATGTGTCACCACACCTTGCCTACCCCCCAAAATTTTTTGTGGCTCTTTATAATCCAGTGTCATGCCTCCTCCTTTCTCTCCCCACTGTTTATTTCCTGGTAAGCACTGATCTGTGTTTTTTGGCTTTTTTCTCTTTTTGAGATAGGATCTTATTATGTAGTTCAGTCTGGCCTCGAATTCAGTATGTAGCTCAGGTTGGCCTTGAACTCATGGTGATCCTCTTTCCTCAGCTTCCCAAGTGCTGGAATTATGGAAGTGTGCCACAACACCTGGCCTGATCTGGTTTTTGTCACTATAGTTTACTTTGCATTTTTTATAGTTCTAGATAAATGAAGTCATATGGTGTATGCTTGCTATTTTAAAAATAGGTGGTAAAATATATACAATAGAAAATTTATCATCATAATCTTCTTTTTTTTTTTTTTTTTTTGTGGCACTGGCGATTGAACGCAGGACCTTGTGCATGCTTGGCAAGTGTTATACCACTGAGCTACACCTCTGGCCCAGCATTTTAATCTTTACATGTATAGTTTAGTATTGTTAAGTACATTTTCATTGTTTTATAATCAATCTCCAGAACTCTTTGTATCTTACCCACCTGAAACCATACCCATCAAATAACAACCTTTGGGTTTTCTCTTCCTCAAGCCCCTGGCAACTAGTACTTTATATTTTTTTGAATTTCTCAAAGATATTTGTCTTTTGTGGCTAGTTTTTTGCTCTTGATAAATAACACAGTATCCTCCAAGTTCCTTTTTTTAAAAATCGTTTTATTTTTTTTGTGTGGAACCCAGGCTTCACACATGCTACAGAAGTCCTCTATGATTGAGCCACACACCCCTAGCCTAGAACTTCTTTTTAATATTCCATTATACATATATACCACATTTTATTTATCTATTTATTCATTGACAGACATTTGGATTGCTTCCATCTTTTGGCTGTATTTTTCTTCAGTGTTACACTTTCAGCTCTTACATTTAGGTTTTTTATTTGTTTTAATTTTGGTGTAAAAATGTAAGAGGCTAACTTCATTCTTTTGCATGTGAATATCCAGTTTTTTCAGCACCATTGGTGAACCAACACCATTGGTTGCGTGTATCAGTAGTTTCTTTTTATTGTTACATAGTGTTCTATGGTAGGTACTACCACAGTTTATTTAATCACCTTTGAAAACATTTTAGCTCCCAGTATTGGGCTATTATGAATAACACTATTTTATATTCTCTTTCTCTTTGGGTAGATACCTAAAAATGAAATTGCTGAGTGATGATACAGTAATTCCCTGTTTAACCTTTGGAGAAACTTTTTCTACAGGGGTTGTACTATTTTACATTCCCGTCAGCAATATAGGAACGTGTTCAGGTTTCTCTACATCTTCAGCAATGTTTGTTATTTCATTTTTTTAAGAAATGGCCCTGCTTAGGTATTAGGTGTTCTCCCACTGTGTTTTTAATTTGCATTTCTTTCTTTCTTTCCTTCTTTCTTTCTTTCCTCCCTTTCTTTTCTTTCTTTCTTTCTTTCTTTCTTTCTTTCTTTCTTTCTTTCTGAGGTCTCGCTATGCAGTTAGATTGTCTTTGAGCTCACTATGTAGCCCAGGCTGGCCTCAAACTCGTGGTAATCCTCCTGCCTCAGCCTCCCAAATGCTGGGTAGTTTGCATTTTTCTAAGCAGGTATTTGTTATGTGACTGCAGTGACAATTACTTGGTAGGCTATGGCGAGAGGATCTCCTGAATGTAGGCTTTCCAGACCAGCGTGGATAAAATAGTGAGACCTCATCTCAGAAAAAAGAAATAATTTATATTTTTGTAATCACTAAGGATGTCTTTTCATGTGTTTTTTACCTAGGTAGCTTCTTTGGTCAATTATCTGTTCATCTTTTCTGTCCATTATTTTTAACTGCTTGCTTTTTTTTTTTTTTTTGAGACAGAGTCTCACTATGTAGTCTAGGCTGGCCTTGAACTTACTGTGTAGCCCAATTTGTGGCAATCCTGCTTCAACCTCTCAAGTGCTGGGATTGTAGGTGTGCTCCACCACTCCCAGCAAATTGCTTGTTATTGTTGTTGTTGTTGTTTTTAACTGAAAGTTCAGGCCAGTCGTGGTGATGCACACCTGTAATCCCAGCACTTGGGAGGCTGAGGCAGAAGGATTGCTGTGAGTTGGAGGCCAGTGTGGGCTACAAAGTGAGTTGAAGGCCAGCCTGAACTGCATAGTGGGACGCTGGTCTCAAAAAGACAGAAACAAACAAACAAAAACTGAAAGTTCAGTCATTCATTCCTTTTTTTGTTTGTGTGGTGTTAGAGATTAAACCCAGGGCCTCACACTTGGATAGGAGGGTTCTTTTTCTACATGAATCCTTTGTTAGCTAGTTGATTTGTAGAGTTTATCCCAGTGTTATGAGCTGGGCATGGTGACACACACCTATAAGCCCAGCACTCAGTAGGCTGAGGGAGGAGGATCACCACCAGTTTGAGGGCAGCCTGAACTGCATAGTGAGTTCAAGGTCTATGTGAACTACATAGTGAGACCCTGTCTCAAAAATGCAAAAAACAAAACAAAACAAAAAAATATCTCATGAGGAGCAGAAGTCTAATTTGTCAGCATTCTTTCTCTTTTTTTACTTTCGTTTTATTTTGTTTTGTTTTGAGATAGGGTCTCACTGTGTAGTTCAGGGTGGCCTTGAACTCACCATGTAGCTCAGGCTGGCCTCAAACTTGCCTTGATCCTCCTGCCTCAGCCTCCCGAGTGCTGGGATTACAGGCATGTGCCACCACACCTGTCCTCTTTTGTTACTTTTGCTTTTGGTGTTACACCTAAGAAATTTTTGTCTGACCCATGGTTACAAGGAATTTTTGTATGTTTTCTAATAAAATTTTCATTTTTAATTATTTTTGCATCAACTAGCAAGAGAGCACATGGAAAAGCAAGTCTCATTGTTTAGATTTTAACCTTTAGATCCAGTTCAAGAGCTAGAGATGTAGACTAATGGTAGAGCACTTGGTCAGCATGAAAGAGGCCCTAGGTTAAATCCCTGATAACTTAAGGTGATTTACAAAGTTCTGCATGATTTCATCTCTTGTCATTGCCTGTCTCTAAGCATCAAACATAACTGAAGTTCATTCAGTTTCCTAAATTTCTTTTTTTTGCCTTTGAGAATTTTTCAACTGGTATTACCTTTGCCTGAAATATTCTTGTTTCTTCTTTACTATTACTATGTGAACTTCATTTGCAAATTATATTCTTTTAGAAGCTTTCCCTGACTTTTTTTTGAGACAGGGTCTCACTGGGTAGTTCATACTAGCCTCGTGATCTTCCTGCTATGTGAGTTTGAGGCCTACCTGGGCTACATGGTGAGTTCCAGGCCAGCCTGGACTACATAGCAAGACCTTATCCAAAAAACAATACAAAAAAAACAGAGCAACATAGAGTACAGTTTAAAAAAAAAAAACTGTGACACTATCTATATCTATATCTATATATATCTATATATCTATATCTATATCTATATCTATCTATATATATATATTTTTTTTTTGAGACAGGATCTTGCTATTCAGTTCAGGCTAGCCTTGAGTTCGCTTTGTAGCCCAGGCTGGTCTCAAATTTGCAAAGATCCTCCTGCCTCAGCCTTCTGAGTGCTGGGAACACAGGCATGTACCACCATACCCGGCCATGTATGTATGTATATGTATGTATGTGTATATATATATATATTTATATATTTTCTAACTAATAACCTACAGTGTGTTAATTAACCTTTTCTTTCTGCTAGTAAGAAGATCTCAAGTGGAATTAACCTCAAAAATTTCCTTCTGGTTTTAAATGTCTAAATATAATTAGCACATTTTAGAAATGGTTCACAGTAGGATTCAGATATAATGCAGGTATTGCCTAGACCCCTGAAACATCTGTCCAGCTGGCTAACTCCAGTCTTTTCATTTACCTTTACCTTTCATTTACCTTTCATTTTACAATAAAATGATCCTGAATTTAAAAAAAAGATGATCCTCCTACCTCAGCCTCATGAGTGCTAGGATTATAGGTGTGCGCCACCATGCCTGGCTCCTAACTCTTGATCTCATTCTTTGGTTTCAGACTGGATGATTATCTTTCCCTTCTTTGTGTATATATTGTATCTCTCTCTCCCTCTCGCTTCTTTTTTTTTTTTTTTTTTTTTTGAGACAGAGTCTTGCTGTGTAGTTCAGGCTGGCCTGGAACTCACAGTGATCCTGTGCCTCAGCCTCCCAAATGTGCATACCTGGCCTATATCTTCTATTTCTTATCATGGCGCTGATCATGTAGTATTATTAAATTGGTTATTTTCCCTCACTAGCATAAGGTCCATGAAAAAGTAATCCCTGTCATATAGTAGTTATTCAATAACCATTTGTTAAATGAGTAAATGTCTATAAAAAGAAACAAGATGAGGTCAGAGTGAAGCTCAAAGTATTTTTATTGTTTTGACTGTACAGAAATGATAGATGTGGGCCAGGGATATAGCTCAGTGGCATAAGCGCCTGCCTGGCAAGCACAAGGTCCTGAGTTCGATTCCTGGTACCTAAAAAAAAGAAAGAAATGATAGATGTTTGAGGTGATAAATTTAATCTGATTTAAATATTATACAATACATAGATATATCAAAACATGATGATAGTCCATTAATTTGTACAGTTTTTATGTTCTTATATATCAGTTAAAAATAAAATACTGTAGTACATTTTTGAGCTGAGAATGAAAAGTGAGTGAAAGAGTTTCAGAAATTAGGGATTATTTTGATTAGCCTTCATGATTGAATCTTTTTTTTTTTTTTTTAATCGGGAATTGAACTCAGGACCTTGTGCTTGCCAGGCAGGCGCTGTGCCACTCAGCTATATTCCCAGCCCCCATGATTGAATCTTGAAAAGAGAATTAACCATTTTCTAACTAATCAGGTATATTCCTCCCCCACACCCCCAACCTGTGCTGGCGCTCAAACCCAGGGCCCCATACGAGTCATATGTACTCTTGACTAGTCTGTGGGCAAGCACATTCATCCCTTGTCCTAATTCTCAAATTATTTTGTAGGATCAGTAAATACCTTTTGACCAGACCAGTGGCTGAAATAGATTGGGCTTTAGTTTAATACTGCTAGGTTTGGACCAGTGCCTTTTTTTTTTTTTTTTTTTTTTTTGAGACAGGGTTTCACTATACAGTTCAGGGCGGCCTTAAACTGACTTTGTACCCCAGACTGGCCTCAAAGTCGCAGTGATCCTCCTACCTCAGCTTCCCGAGTGCTAGGATTATATGCATGCGCCACCACATCCAGCCTGGGACCAGTACTTTTGAAAGCAAACTGTTTTAAAGAGTCTACTTGAACAATTAGTCAATTGCAGTTATCATTCTAGCTTTGAGCATCATGAATATGGGGGCAATTTAGAGTGCTCGCTCATTTAAGTCTTAGGGGTATAGGACTGAAGGATACCACCATTCTTACTCCTTACCCTGGTTGAGCTCTTGATTTCTATTTTTTTTTTTTTTTTGTCTTCTGGAGACAGGGTCTCGCTATGCAGTTCAGGCTTGCCTTGAGCTCACTTTGTAGGCCAGGCTGGTCTTGAATTCGCAAGGATCCTGCCTCAGCCTCCCGAGTGCTGGGATTACAGGTGTGCGCCACCACACCTGATTTCTATTTAATTTCATGATTTAAGTACCATAGGAAAGAAAGGAGCTGAGTACTGGACAGCTCTATTTTGTTGTTGTTCTTTGTAGATAATTTAAGAAAGTATGAAATTATTCATTATAATTATTCTGCCCTTCTAGGTAATGGCTAAACATAGAACAATGGTTTCTTATAGCCCTCAGAATCTCTTTCTGTACTTCAGGTTCGCACTGCTCCTTGGAACACCACAAGAGCTTTCATTGCTGCCATGAAGGGCAAGTGTCTACTGGAGGTGACTGGGGTGGCAGATCCCACAGGGTGTGGTGAAGGATTCTCCTATGTGAAAATTCCAAACAAACCAACACAGCAGAAGGTAAGATTGGATTTCTAGAAGGAGATTATTAAAGAAAGGGGGACTTAAAACTGGAGATAAATGGTGGAGGATCTGGAAAGTGATAGAGTTGGTAGAATGACTTAGACACCTAATATGAATAATTCAGCTTCTTAGAGCTGGGTATGGTGGTACACAGCTGTAATCCCAGTACTCTAAGAGGCTGAGGCAGGGGGATTACAAGTTCAAACCTAATGTAGGCAATTTAAGGACTTAGTGAGACCCTGTCTCAAAATAAATTGTAAAAAGGGCTGGTGATATAGCTCAGTAAAAGGGCATGGGTTCAAACTCCAGTTCAGCTTTTAAGATACTAACTTGGTTTTGTTTGCGGTAGGATGATAAGGAACCTCAGCCAGTGAAGAAGACAGTGACCGGAACAGATGCAGACCTTCGTCGCCTTTCTCTGAAAAATGCCAAGCAACTTCTTCGTAAATTTGGCGTGCCTGAGGAAGAGGTGGGTGTGGAAGAGGGAAACTTGGGAACACCTAGAGGCTTTGTGTATGTAGGGAACGGTTAGAAGGCAGTTGTAAGGAACTATCTGGAGAACTTTGTGCTATAGGTTATAGTAGGTTATGGATACTTTTGTAAGAGTTAGCTTTCTTGAAGCTTTCTGTTTACTCTGCTTTGGATGATTTTTTGGTTTATCTCTCTCTCATCATGTGCCTTGGTTTGTCCTTTGAAATCTCTTTATTTATTTATTTACATATATAAATATATGTAAATAAATAAATTTGTGCATATGTCTCGTAGATTAAAAAGTTGTCCCGCTGGGAAGTGATTGATGTGGTGCGTACAATGTCAACAGAACAGGCCCGCTCTGGAGAGGGCCCTATGAGTAAATTTGCCCGTGGATCAAGGTTTTCTGTTGCTGAACATCAAGAGCGTTACAAAGAGGAATGCCAGCGTATCTTTGACCTACAGAACAAGTATGTTATTTCAGTCCTGCAGAAAATTCAAGCTGGAAAGGGAAGAAGTCCCAGATACTGTTTAGTTTAGCTTTATTTTTGTGATGTTGAGGATTGAACCCAAAGCCTTACACATGCTAGGCAAGTTCTCTGCTGTTAGGCTCCATCTCCAGCCTCTCTTCCCTGATTTATAATGAAGAGGAAATCACTTAAAAATACGACTAGGTAATCAAGTATCTGAGATGCTACAATAGTATATTTTTGTTATAGTGCTGCTAGAATACCTGCTCCTTTCAAAACCGTTTGGCATAAGTAGTGTGAATGTCGAGAGTTGGTAGGCTTATGCTCTGGATTCCAGGGCAACTCTTACTGCTTTCTTGGTCTGGCCCTCACAGCCATAACAGTAGTAACAGGTGACCGGGTTTTTTTCTGAAAGCTTAGTTGCAAGATAATAGTAATGTGCTGTTAAAAGTGACCAGTGTGCTGGTTTCTCACCTTCTCTCCAGGAATTCTGAAAGTTACAGCAATTTCGTAAACTTGCCTCATTCACTAAATATGAAAACTTTGTAAAGTTTTCCCATAAAGGGTCCTACGGTACTTAGTGGATTTTTATTTTTTTTTAAGACGAGTTCTCACTGTGTAGTTCAGGCTGGCCTTGAACTCAAGGCAGTCCTCCTGCCTCAGCCTCCTGAGTGCTGAGATTATAGGTGTGCGCCACCACACCCAGCTGCTTAGTGAATTTTGAGTATGCCTTTTTAAGGTTGATTCTCCAGTTTTCTACTTTGGCCTACAGTCCTGTTCTCTCTAGTTGTCTCTATACTTTTGTATTTATCTTTGTCTTAATTTACCATTTTTTTTCTTTTTAGGGTTTTGTCATCGACTGAAGTCTTATCAACTGATACAGACAGCAGCTCAGCTGAAGACAGTGATTTTGAAGAAATGGGAAAGAATATTGAGAACATGCTGCAGAACAAGAAAACAAGTTCTCAACTGTCACGTGAACGTGAGGAGCAGGAGCGGAAGGAGCTACAGCGGATGCTACTGGGTAAGGGTAGTGGTTTCACAGAAAAAGCAGAGTAAGCTCAAAAAAGTGTAAATAGCCTAGTATGATAGTGCATGCCTATAATCCCAGCACTCAGGAGGCTAAGACAAGAGAACCACTGCAAGTTGGAAGCCAGCCTGGGATACATAGTTCAAGGCCAGCCTGGACTACATAGCGAGACTGTCTCAAAAAAAAAATAAATAACTGCAGACACTGAGACAAAGCTGGAGGCAAAGTAGAGGATGAATATAGAAAAGCCTGTAGATAAGATAGATTTCTGCCATCTAGACTCTAGGTTTGTTTGTGCAGAACAAATTGAAGGGGCTCCCTTTGTATCAGGTACCTGGCCAAGCAAGGGCTGTGTTTTTAAAGTGAGCTTTCTCTCACCAGGTGAGTCCAACCTGCATTGGACATGCCTGTATTATAATGAAATATATTTTAAAATGAAGTTTTGGTTACGTATATTAACTATATTATATATTTTACCTGTAGCCCCAAACAATTTCTCTTCACTCAGTATGGTCCAAGCAAGCCAGGTGTATCCAACCTTCAAGCCAGAGGTTGGACATGGCTATGGGTAACAGTTTTTAATACAGAATCTGTGGATAGTTTTGGGGGATTGTCCTTGAACCCTTTTACATTACATGTAAAGTTCTGTGCAAATGTGCATGTTTTAGAGAAGATTCATGGCTTCTAAAAGATTCTCAAAGGAGCCTTAAACCCTTAAAAGACTTAAAAATGACCAAAAATTGCAGAAGTTGAGGGTAAGGATGATGGTTATGACTGGAATTCATTTGGGACGTGGGAATTGGGGAAGAAATGGGTAAAAGTCAAGACTACCTTAAGGTTTCATTCTGACTTACTAGGAAGATGTTGTTATCACTAATTTCAGAGAAAAGCAAATTTAGGAAGAGAATGTATATTGTGCAGGGTTTGAAGTCCCCATGATATTCAAGAGTATAGATGTCAAATATGAGTACTTGAATGTAGATACTGAGAGGATAAACATTAAATATGAAGATTTTAATAACTGTTCTCATTCACACTAATTTTTTTTTCTCTTGGTTTCTCCCTCTCTGTAAAGGTTTTGTGTAATTTCATTGTTCTAGCTACTTTGTAAAGATGTAATATAACCCTTCCACAATGTGGTCTTTTAGGTCTTTGCTAGTGTGGTTTGGACCACAGTATCCGCATCACATGGAGATTAGTTAGAAAGGTAGAACCTTGGGCCTTTTTTCAGACCTACTGAATTACAATCTTTATTTTAACAGCCCACCCCCCGGTGATTCCTATTCATACTAAAGTTTTGAGAAGGCGAGGTGTGGTGCACGCCTGTAATCCCAGCATGTAATCCTAGCACTTAGGAGGCTGAGGCAAAGAGGATCGCCCTGAGGTTGAGGCCAGCCTTACTGCATAGTGAGATCCTGTCTGAAAACGAAAAGTTTTGAGAAATATAATACTCTGGACATGTTTCTGTGGTGTCATATTTCCTTTTATGCGTGCTCGCTTGGGTGTTTTCATCATTAACTTCTTGCTTGGAATTTTCTATTGCCCTGTTACTAAGAGGAATCAGAATATAGCTACTGCTCCTCCATCTCCTCTAGCGGACATCTAGTTCTTTGAGGATTGGGGGGAACTTTTGTACTTGTAAAAATGGAAATTAAGAGTGGTAAGATGAAATTAGGAAAGGATAAATTAGTCCTGGTAGTACTGGGCTGGTGGGGACTTTGGTGCTTTCTTTAAAGCCATGGTTTTGTGGCTTGTCAAATTCATTGTCTCCACTCATTGCCAAGAAAACAGCCACTTGGGTGGAAGGGGCAGTATTTGGAAATCTCTTTCTACCTTGCAGCAGCGGGCTCAGCTGCATCAGGAAACAATCATAGAGATGATGACACAGCTTCTGTGACTAGCCTTAACTCCTCTGCCACTGGTCGTTGTCTCAAGATATATCGCACATTTCGAGATGAAGAAGGGAAAGAGTATGTTCGCTGTGAGACAGTCCGAAAACCAGCTGTCATAGATGCCTATGTGCGTATACGCACTACAAAAGATGAGGAATTCATGTGAGTTTTATTTACCACTTCCAATTATGATAGGGAGAATAATGGTGGAGAAGTTGGTCATAATTGGGAACCATCTTGCCTATACATCTCTGGGTTTGAACAAGCCATATCACCAGGAAAATTTATGTTCGCTACAAAATAAAGGCATATCACATTTTACCAGAGTTCTTTGTATTTGGCTGTTTAGTTTCTTAAAAATGTTAGGGATTACTTAGGACTTACTATAAGAAGTAACTATGTAAGGTAGAAATATAGTAGGCAGTCAGACAGGACTGGGCTCTAGCGGAGATAAGAATGCACCAGGACTTTGGCTGGAAGTACATCTGAATATTAAAGTCCAATGGCTAGTTTTACATACTTCCCTAAAGGATGAATGGAGGCTTGGGATTATCAGTATCACCCTTTTGGGATTTCCCATTATCTCATTAGGGGTGGGCCATCTTCTCCCACCCACTAAGACTGCTAAGACTAAAGATAAGACTAAGACTATAGATTAGTTAATGATGTCACTCATGTACCCTTGCTACCATTAGATCAATATTACATAAGCAACTATACTTGCAATTGTATTGGTTAATCATAATTTTTGACCAATGTTGTATCTGCGTCATGATTTGCTCTGTAAAACTTCCTTTGAGGGGTAGGCTTGTTGGCTGCCCATTTGGGACCACTCCTGTCTCTGAGGAGCTGTTCCTATTCCCCATTCTTTTTGCAAATAAATTTTCCTGCTCTTGAAAAGGTAACTTCAGATGAAGGAAGCCAGGCATGGTGGGGCACACCTGTAATCCCAGCACTTGGGAGGCTGAGGCAGGAGGATTATTGCTAGTTCGAGACCAGCCTGGGCTACAAAGTGAGCTCAAGGCCAGCCTCTGAACTGCATATCAAAACCCTATCTCAAAAAAGACCAAAAAAAAAACCAAAAATCAGATGGAGGGCTAACTAGCAAGAGAGTTGGGAATGCAGGTATTCCCTTTTAATTTCAGCCTGGGTGGATTATTTTAGTTCTGAGATGTTAGCTATTAGGACATTCTTCTTGGTTTAGGTTTCTTATGTGATCTCCCTTTCCCCCTCTGCTGTTCAGTCGAAAATTTGCCCTTTTTGATGAACAGCATCGAGAAGAGATGCGAAAAGAGCGGCGGAGGATTCAAGAACAATTAAGGAGGCTTAAGCGGAACCAGGAAAAGGAGAAGCTTAAGGGTCCTCCTGAGAAGAAGCCCAAAAAACTAAAGGAGCGTCCTGACCTAAAAGTAAGTGTAATATGGCATAATCACAACTAACAAAACAAAGAAAGCAAGCAAGCATACCTTTTTTGTTAGCTTTCATTATCCTCCCTTACTGAGAATGAGAGCAGTATTGTGGAAAGCTAGTTTGCATTGATTTGGCAGTTTCAGTGTTTTTAGTAATAGTGTGAGTGGTCCCAACACCACCAAGCCCAATCTGGTGTCACTGTTCTCATCAGATGTCATTTATACTTCCTTTGAAATATTTTCTAGGAGTTAATAGGTTTGGTGGATTTTTCAGCTGCATATTTGTGTGTGTGTGTATAGTCACATCTCTTTTTTTTGTCTTGCAATTTTTTATTGTACTGTTAGAGGAAGCAGACAATACCTGGCAGTGAAATACAGAGGCTCATGCATGCTAAGACAAGCATGCTACCACTGAGCTACATCCCCTGTTTTTTTAAGAAGTTGTACATATTTTAAAATGCAACAAACCAGGTATCATGGGACACACCTGTAATTCCAGCTACTTAGGAGGCTGAAGCTGGAGGATGACAACTAAGAGGCCAGCCTGGGCAGTGATCTCAAAATAAAAAGTAAGAGGGGCTGGGGATTTAGCTCAGCAGCAAAAGCGCCTGCCTGGCAAGCGCAAGGTCGTGAGTTCAGTTCCCGGTACCGGAGAAAAACCAAAAAAAAAAAAAAAAAGTAAGGGCTGGGGTTGTAGCACAGCAGTAGAGTGCCCCTGGGTTCGATTCCCAGTATTGGGGAAAAAAGCAATAAAACTAAAACATATATAGGATACAAATTGTTTTACACTTAAAGTAGGACTTCTTGCATGGTGGCACATGTCTATAATTCCAGCATCCTGGGAAGCTGAGAGAGGAACATTGCAAGTTCAAGCCCAATCTGGGTACTTTAGTGACTTCACAAGATCCTATCTCCAAAAATAAAAAGGGCTGGGAATATAGCTCAGTATGACGGCCATGGGTTTAATCCTCAGTACCAAAACAAAACAAACAAAAAATAACTTAGTCCTGCAGGCATTACTGTGCAGTGTGACTGTAAAGTGCTCCATAAGATGAAGCACCTGTGGTACAGTAGAAGGAGCCATGAACTTAGAAACAGAAGATCTGATTGAGTTTTGGTTCTGCCACTTAATAGCTCTGTGATCTTCACCTCTCTAAACATGTTTTCTAAAAAATAATAGTCTCTCACAATGTTGTATTAAATGAAGTAAATCATGTGAAGCTCTTGATAAATTGTATTCAACAAATATAATGCACAGTTAACATGTACTTAAGTCATTAAATGTTTTGATGTTCCTTTCTATATATGTGATATTAGATAAGTGTGATATGATACTGGTCCCATTTTACAAATGAAACTGAGTTCTAGGATACCAGAGCCACTCAGTTGAAAAACTGAGATGGAGATTTGATACCATTGAGCTTTTTCCTTGTTTTAACTATGGAAGTCTGCCTAGATAACTGATTATGCTTGGACTTCCAGCTGCCATTCACCTGCAGATTTAATATTGTCACAGTTCATGACTTACATTGGGAATGGAAATCCGTTCCCTTTTATTCCTCACATGATTTTTTTAAAGAAATGTTTAGCCTCTGGATTTTATTTTCTCTTTTATGTGTCATTTCTATATGTGGACTTTTGTCTAGTGGCTTCTATAGATAGGTGAATAACCATTCTATTATAGAGAAAGTTCTGAAATTGTCCTTGTTTCTCTTTTGCCTTTACTTTGTTTTTCCTTCACTGGCTTATCTCCAACATATTTCAGCCTGCTTGTGTCTGACATGTTGATATTTTTCCTTTCATAGCTGAAATGTGGAGCATGTGGTGCCATTGGGCACATGAGGACAAACAAATTCTGTCCCCTTTATTACCAAACAAATGCTCCGCCTTCCAATCCCGTTGCCATGACAGAGGAACAGGAGGAGGAGTTGGAAAAGACAGTCATTCATAATGATAATGAAGAACTTATCAAGGTTGAAGGGACCAAGATTGTCTTGGGGAAACAGTTAATCGAGAGGTAAGAGCAGCAGGAAGTGGTATGGGAGAGATGTATCGGAGGTTGATGATGTTCATGGGTGGCAGGGGTAGATGTGATAGTGTTCGCTGAAGTGGAACTGAGAATACAGGAATTTTGCAGTTTTCTCTGTAATACTTGTCAGTAATGAAAGTAACAGCACTCATTAGGTTCTACTACTTGCCCTGGGGCATGTTACCTAACATTTCTGTGTCTTAGTTTGTAAATAAAAATCCAGCCACTATTTACCAGGTTAGTTATGTAGATAAAATGAAAGAGACTATAAAATACATATTTCAATGCCTGACATATAGTAGATACCAGTAGATCTTAATTCTCTCTTGCTATTCTACTTCTAGGCACTTTTAATAATTGCAAGGTCCCTAATGTCAGTGTTCTGAAAGAGCGTCCAAAAAGATCGAGGAAACATAAACTATGCATACGTATGTCTCTTGCCCTCAGAGAGTTTGATAATAAAATGGAGTTTTAGAATTTTGTTTAGTTTGAAAATTTTAAACCTATAGAAAATTGGAAAGCATACAATATTGCTGGGCATGGTGGTAATCCAAGCATGTGGAAGGCTGAGGCAGGAAGATCAGTGTGAGTTCACAGCTAGCTTGAACTGCATAGCAAAACCCTGTCTCAAAAATACCAAAAACGGGCTGGGGATTTAGCTCAGCGGCAAAAAGCGCCTGCCTGGCAAGCGCAAGGTCGTGAGTTCGGTTCCTGGTACCGGAGAAAAACCAAAAAAAAAAAAAAAAAAAAAACCAAAAAGAACCAAAAAAGAAAAAAAAAATACCCTAGTCTTCTAAATTCAGTAGTGTGTATTTTGCCACATGCTTCATTGTTATATATCTTTTTTTCTGATGCATTTGTAAGTTGCAAGCATCATGTTTCATTCCCAAGTTCTTTAATACACATCTCATATGTAATATTTTGACCTTATTCAAATTTCTGCAGTTGTATCAATGTCCTTTATTCCCCCTCCCCAATTCTGGATCCAGTCTGAGTCCAGACATTAAATACACTTTGATTCTCTTCATTTAAAACTGTCTTTTCCACCTTTTATATTTTTCGTGATACTGAATTTTGTTTGTTAGAGTTTTTTGTTTTGTTTTTTGAAACAGGGTCTTACTATGCAGTTGAGGCTGGTCTTGAACTCACTATGTAGCCCAGGTTGGCCTTGGACTTGGGGTGATCCTCTTGCCTGAGCCCTCCAAATGTTGGGATTACAGGCATGTGCCACCATGCCTGGCTATTTTACATGATACTGAAATTTTTGAAGCATTCATGCCAGTTGTCTCATAACCCACTTTCTAGATTTGTCTGATTATTTTCTCGTGGATTAGATTCAAATTAAATATTTTTGGCTAGACATTCTACATAGATGATATTATGTACTTTATCACATCAGGAAGCACATAATGTCAGGATTTCCCTTTATCTTCAGGCCTTGGAATAAAGGTATATTTTCCCCTTTGTAATTAAGCTGTGGGTGAATATCCCTTTCCCTAACATTCCCACTGGTTCTGGCACTCATTGGTAATCATTGCCTGACTCAGTTATTTCATTGAAGGTTAAAAAACATGGATTTTCTAAATATAACATTTCTCAAAAAATAAATCTTAACATTTCTCTACAGTAGCTGGCATTTTTCTATAAAGAAAAGTTTCTATATCTCCCTTTAAGTATTACTATAAATTCTGAAATTTTTCCTTTAATGTATTATAATTAGCATCTTTTGGTTTTTTGAGACAGGATTTCGCTATGTAGTTCAGGGTGACCTTGAACTCATGGCAATCCTCCTGCCTCAGCCTCCTGAGTGCTGGGATTACAGGCATGCGCCACCATGCCTGGCAACATCATTAATTTTGATGTGTAATATCCTAAATTTGACTCAAAGCCAGATCCTGTATTCTTTTGAAATGACCCTGTAAATCTTTGAGAACTTCGCTTCCTGGCACTCTGAATTTTCCTTGTCCTGTACCTAGAATCAGCTATTTCTCTAGGGAACCCGGATTTCTTTTTGGAGGGAGGTATTTAGAGGTGTTAGATATAATCTTACCACTGAGATATCGTTGCTTCTCAGCTATTTTAGTAAACAGAACTAGGAAGTATATGTGTATTTTAGTTTAGTTTAGTTTATTAATATAGTTGTACATAAAGTTTACATTCCTGGTGGGAAGTTTGTACATACACATAACACATCTTAATTTCTTTTTTCATCCCCTCTCCTTTTTCTCCCTCTCCCATCTCTTTTTGAGACAGGGTCTCACTATGCAGTTCAAACTGGTCTTGAGTTCACTTTGTAGCCCAGGCTGGTCTCGAACTTGTAACGATCCTCCTGCCTCAGCCTCCCAAGTGCTGGGATTACAGGCGTGCGCCACCACGCCCGGCTTTCCTCTCCCATCTCTTGATCCTTTTTTGGTACATGTTTGCAATACATAATGTTTACATTGCTTTTGTGGAGTTGGTATATAACACATCTCAGTTCCTTTTTTTATCCCATATCTCTTCCCTACCTCACTCTTTCCTACATGTATTTTAAATCACAACTTAGTTTTTTTTGTTTTTTGAGATAGGATCTCACTAGGTAGTTTAGGCTACCCTGAACTCACTGTGTAGACCAGGTTGGCCTTGAACTTAGGTGAACTCCTTCTGCCTCAGATTTCCCAGTGCTGGGATTACAGGTGTGTGCCACCATCCCTGGCTACTTAAATCACAACTTCTAACTGGTACTTTTGATTCAAATTACACAGTACCTACAGACTCAGTCTTTTTTTTTTTTTTTTTTTGAATCGGGAATTGAACTCAGGACCTTGCACTTGCCAGGTAGGCTCTTGTGCCCCTGAGTTATATCCCCGGCCCTATACTCTGAATCCTCATCTTCCCCCATTTCATGTTTGTATCCTTTCTCTGATTATTAACATTAATATATTCATTTGTTTTGCCTTATAAGTACAAAATAGTTTCAATTACTATACCAATGCTGTTACTTAACTCTATAAATAGGTTCAAGATATTTTCAGGGTTTGCTATCCTTGAATTATATATTGCTGAAGTTGTACAGTTGGCTTTTTCCTGTAGTTGCTTCTTTCCTAGGAAGTAGGGGCTGCATGCTATAAAAGTTTTATTAATTGCAGTGCTGATGAGGTTCGCAGAAAATCTCTGGTTCTCAAGTTCCCTAAACAGCAACTTCCTCCCAAGAAAAAACGACGGGTTGGGACTACTGTTCACTGTGACTATTTGAATGTGAGTTTCTACATTGCCCCCTTGTGATCAGATAGGTTCTCATTAATTCCCCTATTCTTCTATGACATGGTCATTCCCTGTAGCCTTTCCCTAAGAATTATGTATGTCGTTCCCTATAGGATTTCTGAAATATATCTATATAGAAAGTGTTCGGTTTTTTGGTCAAAAGAATTCTGATTTCTTGTTTCTTAGAGACCCCATAAGTCCATCCACCGGCGCCGGACAGACCCTATGGTAACATTGTCGTCAATCTTGGAGTCTATCATCAATGACATGAGAGATCTTCCAAATGTGAGTACATTGTATCTGATATCTGCAGTTGGGACGGCAAACCCTTTGTTTTACCTGTGATTTCAGATACATAGAGGGCAGTAGCATGTCAACCTAGGTACCTGGAACTCCTAATTTTGGGGGATGTTTTTTGGTGTTTTTTGTTGTAGTTTTTTAGTAGTTTAGTAGAGGAACTAGACCTGTTCCATATAAAAAGATTCCTTTGAGAGTTAATGATCAGATAGATGGGCGAAATGTCATAGTCCTCTGTTATTGGCTCTGGCAAGTGTTTCTTGCTCATGAATGAGTCTGACTCTGTTTTCACAGACCTACCCTTTTCACACTCCAGTGAATGCAAAGGTTGTAAAGGACTACTACAAAATCATCACTCGACCAATGGATCTACAGACACTCCGTGAAAATGTGCGCAAGCGTCTCTACCCATCTCGGGAAGAGTTCAGAGAACATTTGGAGCTAATTGTGAAAAACAGTGCAACCTATAATGGTAAAGATCATTTGTTCCTTGGGTGCAAAAGTCACCTCTCAGATACTTTAATTATCCCTTACTGGTGCTAAATTCAGACTAGATTGGACTGACCAAAAGGACTACAGTGCATTAGTATAACTGTGGGTATGAAAATGAGGTAATTTATTTGCATTTTATGTCATTTACTATATATATTGCTTCTTTTTATTCCCATTATTTGTTGCTGTATCCTTTAGAGAATTTGGAATCTATATATTGAAATGAAATAGTTACATAGGGAGTAGTGGGAGGAAGAAATAGGCCTAGATAAGTAGAAATGAGATGCATTCAGTGGGGAGAGAGCCTATGTAAACAAAGTACAGTATGTGTTTGTGATCATATTTGCTGTTTAATGTTTTTGAGTCACTTCACAGATTTGGTATAGGAGCAGTTATGTATCCACTCTGCTCAAAAGCTGAAAAGGAAAGCAGGAAGAAATCTGTTTGAGTCTTTTGGTGGAGGGACTTTAAGACAGGGTCCTCACTGTGTAGTTCAGGCTGGCCTTGAACTCACAGCAATCCTCCTGCCTCAGCCTGTGCTGGGATTACAGATGTGTACCACAGCTACTTGGGAGGCTAAGGCAGGAGGATTGCAAGTTCAAAGCCAACCTAAGCATATAGTGAGACCTTGTCTCAAAAATAAAGTAGAAAAGGGCTAGGAATGTAGCTTAGTTGTAGACTGCTTGCCTAGCATGTGTGAGGTCCTGGGTTCAACTCGCAGTGCTATCAAAAGAAAACAAAACAAAACAAAAAAAAGCGCCAATTTCAACATGTCATCCATATTATAGAATGTGTCAGTACTTCATTTCTTTATATTATCACATAATATTTCATTGTATAGATGATACCACATTTTGCCTGTTCATCAGGTGCCTGTACTTTTTGGTGAAATTTTAAAATGTTATTATAGAAATTGTTAGACGTGGAAGTAAAGAGAAGAGAAAATAAACCTCAGTGCACCTACCCACCCAGTTCAACAATTTGTTAGCAGTTGGCCAATCCTTTTTTTTTTTTTTTTTTTTTGAGACAGGGTCTCATTATGTAGTTCAGGCTAGCCTTGAGCTCACTGTGTTGTCCAGGCTGGACTCGAACGCACAATGATCCTCCTGCTCCAGCCTCCTAAGTGTTGGGATTATAGATGTATGCCACCACACCCAGCTCTGGCCAATCTTGTTTAGAATGTATTTCTATATTTGTACCATTTCATCCATAAATACTTGAAATACTTATACTGTCTTTCAATGACTTTTTTTCTAGTCATTTTCTTTCACTGAACCAAGAATTTTCTATGGTAGGAATTGTATTATTTTTTCTTACATTTCCATCATTGGACATGTCATAGTCATTAAATGTGTTGAATGAATAACCAAATGAATACTGAATTAAATAATTAGTAGTTGAGAACAAGCTTGAGGTTTAGGTTCTGGAGAATATTAACACAAGTAGAGACTGAAAGAAGCAGAATTACTGGCTAAATTACATTGTCTTAATTATTCCTATGATAAGCTTAACATAAGGCAAACATTCAGGGAATGTAAGAGAGAGGTCAAATGAGTCAAGGATTTTCTGAAATTATAAGGATTTAAGGAAAACTGAAATAATAATATAATGTATGAAGAAAATTCTTTTATAACAAAAGCTTTGGTTTAGCCAGAATTGAGAACATCACACAAGTTTTGCAAACAAAAATTGCAATTATAAATTATATTAACTGTGGAAAATTATAAATCAGTCATTGATTTCTTTAGTCATCCTTTAAAAAACTGTCATTCCCATCTCTAGAATCATTTTCAAGGTATTTAAGGCAGTTGTAATACACCCCTATCTATGGATATATGCAAACAAATAAAAGAATTTAGTTTATTCAATTTATATTGTGTACTTGTTACATGTTAGGCACTGAATAATAGAAATAATACTGGTGTATTTGTCTCACCCAACAGCTAAGCTGGTGTCTTGCACATATTAGGTGGGGCTTTATTGTTTTTTGTCTTGGTTTTTCAGGCAGAACTATGTATGTTGGTTGTGGTGGTGTATGTCTGTAATCTCAGCACTTGGGAGGCTGAGGCAGGCGGATTGCTGCAAGTTCAAGGCCAGCCTGGGCCACAAAGTGAGTTTAAGGCCAGCCTGAACTACGTAGCGAAACCCTGTCTCAAAAACCAAAGCTAGGAGATGGGCTCTAAAATTAGGCAAAAAGGACCTGAGGGTATAGTTC